TGTGTGTGTGTGTGTGAGAGAGAGAGAGATTTTTAAATTTCATACATTTTTCCATTCAAATCCAGACCCCTCTCCCATCCATGCCTCTTCCTACCACCCCACCACACTAGGTGACACATCTGCAGTCGAATCTCTGCAACTAAAGCTCATGGAACATAGCAGAATAAAGGATGAGAAAGGGCTAATGCACCCCTCATCTCTCACCAGGGAGGCTTCCATGTACATCAGATTGTGATGCACACTGTTTTCACATCACTTAAGTTTTATTTACCTCTTCTCTATCTCTCACCATGTAAAACATTCCAGCCTCCCCCCCGTTAGAGTAACCCTATTTTCTCCATTCTCCCCTTGAAAATGGTTGTGTTTTCCTAGCCCCCTCTCTTGAGTTCCATCTTCCCCTCCCCCTTCATGGTTCCTTTCTATTTTCCTCACTTTTGCTGTTACTTCAGAATATAGTCATGTCTAAGGATTTGGAACTAGGATTCACATATGAGAGAGAATGTGCATTACTTGTTTTTTCTGAGTCTGGGTAACCTCATTCAGGATAACACCTTCTAGTTCCATCCATTTACTTGCAGATTTCATGATTTCATTTTTCTTTACTGCTGAGTAAAACTCCATCGTATATATGAACCACATTTTCATTATCCATTCATCAATTGAGGGACACCTAGGTTGCTTCCATCTCTTAGCTATTGTGAAAAGAGCAGCAACAAACATGGATGTACAAGTGTCTCTGCAACAGGACGAGTTGAAGTAGTGTAAAAAATAGTATGTTTATCTATTTTGAATGAAAATCTGAATGCATATATCTAGTGTGAATATTCAGATATTACTCATGAGGTAAAAGTTCTCATTTCTCCATGTTACGATTTTACTGTATTGTTTCTTTCAAGGGTCTTTGTTTTGTGTGGCTTTCTCTTTATTTAAAGTATTTTGTTTATTATTTTTATTTTATGTGTATGAATGTATTGCCTGCATGTGTGCAAGTGTACTTGTGTAATGTAATGCCCACCAAGGTCAGAAGAAGGTGTTCAATTCTCCTGAAACTGGACTTACAAATAGTTGTTAGATGCCATGTGACTGCTGGGAGCCCAACTGGGGTCCTCTGCAAGAGCAGCCAGAACTCTTAACCACTGAGTCATCTCTCTAGCCCCCCCTGCCCCTCGCCCCTCCCCTTCTCCTTTAGAAGGTAAGTTTTCCCCAATTCAATCCATATACTGATCTTAAGCATTGCCCAGAGAGCTAAACAGATTTATGGATGACTATGAAATGTAGCAGACCCCTTGACTTTGATTTCCATAATATTTCTTCAAGCAACTACTTGACCAATTAATTTCTTTTTTTAAAACCTTTATTCACTCCGTTTGTATGTATGTATGTGTGTGTGTGTGTGTGTTTGTGTGTATGCATGTGTGCACACGTGCCAAGGTACATGTGTAGAAATCAAAGGAAAAAAATTTGGGGTGTCATTTCTTTTCTTTCACCAAGTGGGTCCTGGGATCAAACTCAGACACCAGCCTTGAGGGAAAGCACTTTTTCCCAATGAGCCATCTCAGTGACCTAATTTCTACTCTTGTATTATACAATCAAATTAATTTAAAGCTTTTGAGTTGCTTCAAGTCCAGCTCTGGTGTTTTGGAACTCACTTTGCCATTTCCGTTGTCTGGCCTGAGGTGTCGCTCATGGAGAGTACATGTCTAGCATGCTTTAGGCACTAGGTTCAATCTACATCATGGAAAGAATCAAAACAAAACAGAACAAATGAAACAATAACAAAAATTTTCATCTGCTACCATCCTTCTTGGCCTCCAGTACTGGCCTAAAATAGGTAGTTGTGTAATACATTGCCACAGCCAAGGCTGCGTTGCTTGTTTGGGATGTCACTTAAATGAATTTATTTCCCTTTATTTGTAGGCTTTTTATTCCCATAGTTCATAGAATGTTAAGGACACCATTCCACATTTTTCACATGCACTATGTTTCACATTAAATTATCTTGAATGAATGACTTTATTTGCTGGGTGTAAAAAGCCTGCACTTCATCCTACTGCCTACCCAGGCTGCCCACCTTCAAGATTAAATCCTGGAGACTCTGAGGGGGGTGACTGGAATTAGGTTGGCTCCACCAAAAGCCAGAGAGGCATAGATCTTACCTCTTGAGGCCCACCTTCTTCCCTGGGTCCTATGGGATGGTTCAGCTGCAATAAGTGCTCCTGTGTGATGTTCTGGCAACTGCAGAATCTTTTAGCTTTGATAACGTTAATTAATCCTACTCCCAGTAATGAACACTGTGCTATAAAAAAATCTTTAAACTACATGAGAACAACCTAATAACTCACGGAACTATATACACTCAATCAGAAATTGGTATCTCAATTTCATGATTATTCATTAATTGTTATAATAAAGTTCTTTTTATTCTAATTAAGGTTACGTTATTTCTCTGTATTTAAAAATACTCAAAATTCTATTTAAAAATAATTAAAAGTAACTTGCTTCTTTTTAATTAATATCCTTGAAAGCAACTGGGTTTATGGCAAATGTTCAATTACTCATAGATAAATATTAAACTGACTTCATATAGAGAATGATAGCTACTCTCACATTACCCTGCAATTGATTTCCTTAGCACTGAAGCTGTTATAATTCATAGTCTACTTTGATTAGCAAAGAAAATATCCTATTATTATAGAAATTCTCAAGCATTTGCCCTAAGATTTCTATACATGTATTACATAATATTTGAATGAGCTCACACTTAATTATTATGCGTTAAGAAGTGCTAATTTGGAGAGGGAAGGTAATTTAATAATATCCAATGTCACAAACGTCATAGAATTGCCTATCCCTCAAACAGGTAATGCTGATGACTATAAAACAAGATAGTTATTTATATGGAGTTAAAAATATGATGAAACCATTGTTTCTATATCCCCTAATAACTTTTTGTGTCACTGTATCTAATGTGCTGTAATAAGGTTTGGGATCATATTAGAAGCAAACAAAATTGTGGAATTCATTTTTACTCATCCCTAAATAGACTATTCGGGTAAAGAATTTTGTCCTTAGAATTTCAGCTTGTTATTGTTAAAAAATGATAGAATCTATGGAAAAATCACTACTGAGAACTGGATCACTTTGTGTTTTGCAGGACTCTTAGTGGATTTTGTTTTTTAGTACTTTTCCACCCAAATGCTCTGGTATGGGAAGTTTAATTGGCTAAATAATGGGAAAAAAGGTTATCTTAAAACAAATTTTTGCCCTCAATATCTTTTGACCAATTTCACTTCTTCTAATAGTTTTCAAACCATTTAGAATTTATTTTTTTATAAATTATATATGTTCTGTTTCTTAATGATTCATAAAATTTACAAATGTATTGCCTTGAGAATGAGTCTTAGTCGTGTAGATAACACCTTCTGAATTAATTCTGCACTGTGAATAATTGTCTTGTATGCTTGATTTTCTTTAATTTTGCATCGATATTAATGGGGTTAAACCTAATCCACACTTCTCTGGTTTCTCCGTAAGAATTTGTGGTATACCAGATCAAATGCCTTTCTAAAGAGAAGATGCAGTGCTGTCTACTCCATTTCCTTTATCCTCTAAGCTTTTTGTAATAAAAAAAAGAATCATGACCACTTAATCCTTACTTGACTTGTAGTAGGTCTTAGTGTCATGATGTAATATTTAATTTTATTGATCAATACTTGTGAACGATATCTCCTATTACTCATAAATTTGGCTTACAAAATAAGAGACAGTAAAAATGCTTACATTTTTCCCCTGTGGTGCTGTATGTATTTGAGTCCTTCTATGTTTCCATCAAGTGGAAAGGACTATTTCTCTTATATTTTGGTAGGATGACTTGTTGCCTGATTAAATAAAATACATATTTCTACTGTAATTCTACATTAATTTAAATTAAATGGAAAAATGCCTGATCTCTTTTATGGATTATACTGCATCATGCTGGCTAAGGCTTTTGCTACATAACAACTCCAAATGCGGTGCAAAAGAAAGGAGGGCTTTACTATTTCAATTGCTGTGTTAGTTTTATATTTACTTGAAAAGTTTGTTTTTCAATTCCTATAAAATATATGGGGTAAATACAATTATAAATACACACTCTCGGCACAATGTATTCTAGTGAAATAAAACTTTCATAAAGAGGTGCACCGTGCAAAGGCATCATACAGTCTTTTCTAACCTTTTGTTTTCAGAGGCTTAGAATAAAGATCACATTCAGTGATGAATGAGGGTCTCAGTGATTGTGGGGTCATAGTCTAGAGCCCTTTGGGCTATCCTTTAGTGGTCAAACTGTACTGTTTCCTCGGATAAGACCATTTGTGGGGAGACCAGTCAAAAATTTCTCCCTCACTCAGTAGTAATCAGTTTCCAGTAGTTATTCAGCTAAGGCGGGACCTGCTGCCCTTTCCCAAGATCTGTGCTGGATTTCTGTCTGATTAAGTCAGCATGGGTCTTGTGCATGCTATCACCATTGTTGCAAGTTCATATGAACAAGTTCCCAGAGGCCTGTGAGCCTCTGTTTCCTTACGTTCATGCACCAACCTTGGTTCTTGCAATGGTTCCTGAGCCATGAGTGTGTGAAATTTAATATGAGTCTTTTTTAAAATTTTATTTATTTATTTATTTATTTATTTATTTATTTATTACCGTAACCCTATCCCCTCCAACTCCTACCATACCTCTTCATACTTTGTTCTGATAACTTCATATACTCTTTCTTCCTTTTTTTTAATGGGGCTTTTGACTACTCTAACATCCCCCCCTCTGAAGAGGTATCCCTAAAATCTTTTAAGGATTAGATACAAACTCCAAAATATTTTGGACACTTTTGGCCTTTGGAACAGAATATGTTGCTAAGAGGCCCAAAGACATTTTGACTTTTAGTCAAGAAACTGGCTACTTTTCTTTGGGGTCTTTTTACCCTAACTGCCTAGCCAATTCCTACCTCCTATTCTTATCACACCATCTTCTGAAGGGGTTACCCAAATTGCCAATAGGGAATCAAGATGCAGACTGCTCTGGCTTCTTCCATGCAATATAGGAGTCTTATCTAGGGACATACACTCTGCAGTCTCTTATTCTCGACACCTTGGAAAGTTGTGCTTTCTGTGTGCATCACATTCTGTTGCATGAGGAAGCTTCACTGGTGAGAGTTGAGCATTGTATTAGTGCTTGCTCTACCCTCTGTTCCCCTATGATCCTTGAGCCTTAGGTCTAGAGGTTCCACTGTAGATGTGTTGCTTAGGGCTGAGCATCTCTCAGACATATATTCTCTGTGGGTGACCAGCTCTAGAACTCTGTAATAGTCTCCATCTGTTGCAAAAAGAAGCTTCTTTGATGAGTGGTGTAAAGTATTCTTGTCTATAATTAAAATGATCCATATTTAGAATACAGTAAGAAATTTCATTTGTCTAGAGATATGATGGAGATAGGATTAGAGTCCAGTGGATGTAACTGAGGGACATCTGGGTAAAAACGCCTGACTGGATAGGCCTTAACATATATGACAATGCATGAAATCCAGTGTGTGTATGTCGGGGTTGGGGAGGGGAGTAAGGTATTTAGGGTAGGGGTCTAAATATGATTGAGATCTGTTGTATGAAATGCACAAACAGTGCAAAAATACATAAAAGAGTTACCCTTTTATATGTATGAACAGGAAGAGCTTAGAAAAGCAGATTCAAAGATTTAGCAAATTGCATGTTTTTCTACACAGTTTATCTACCAATTTTTAGTACAGTTTTTGCCTGGGCTAAACACTAGAACTTGACTGCCAAGTTTATTCATTTAACCATAAACTACAACAAATGATTAGAAATATGTCTGCGTGGTTCCTCTGCTGACAACTTCATGAAGACAAAGAAGATGAAGAAAAAGAAACTTCTTACTAAACTATTGGAGGGAAATTCTACAAATTACAAATTACAGCTTACTATGAATTTAAATCAAACAAGTTCACCAATTATAATGATATTATGGGGTTGTGACATTATTTTTAATTTCTTTCTAATGTCTTAGAATGAGAAAGGGTACTTCCCTACTGTTTTCTTTTGAGGTAGTTTGTCTTTTTTTTTCTAACTGGAATTTGTTAACCCTAGACCATTGTTAAAGGCTAATGGAAATGAGCTTAGTATGCTATTGTATCTGATTCATAAGGGACAATTTCCTGTCACATTTTCTCTTTCTTGAATCTATATTTTAGAAATTCCTTTGAATTTTGATCCTTGCAGTAACCTTGTGGAGTTAAAGAAAAGATTAAATTGAACTCACACTACAGATGGTCTACAGATATTTTGCAAACACACAAAAGCTATAAATAATAATGATGAACCACCCAAGGCTTGTTTACCCTTGATTTGTTATCTCTGAGGCACTGGGAGGTTTCATAGATGTTGTGCTGGATAGCTTTAGTGTTAACTTGACACACCTGGGTTGAGGGACCCTCAATTGGGGAATTCCCTCTATTGGACTGGCCTGTGGCCATGTCTGAGGGGCATCTTCTTGATGAGTGATGTGGGAGGCCCAGCCCACTGTGGGTGGTGCCACCCTTGGGCAGGTGGATCTGTGTTGCATAAGAAAGCAGGCTGAGTAGGGGCCAGGGGAGCAAGCCTGTAAGCAGCATTCCTCCATGGCCTGTGCTCCAGCTCCTGCCTCCAAGTTCCTGCCCTGAGTTCTTACCTTGCGCTCCCTGATGAACTGTGTGTGACCTGGGAGATGTAAGACAAATAAACCCTTTCCTCCCCAAGTTGGTACTGGTCAGAGTGTTTTGTCACAGCAATGAAGAACAAACTAAGACAGATGTCAATCTTGGCCATGTTATACCTAGGCCCTGTTTAAACCCCTTGTTGTTTTGTCTTAAGTGAATTGGTAGTTCGTTCTATTTTTTTTTCCTTCTGCAAAGAGTTGAAGGCACCTAAAATTTGAGACTCATATAATTAATTTGAAAATTCAGCAGATAAAATTAAAATTTTTACACAAGTTCATGTACCAAGTTAAAAGATGCTCAATTGCACATATCAACTATATTTTATTGCTTTTTGAAGATTCTAGATATTGGTTTGGGATATGTTGTTATAATTTTTATAAAGCCTGTATAATTTTTTATAAAGCCTTGGGATATGTTTAAGTTTTCTCTCTAGCATCATTAGAAGGGTAAATGCACTGTCTTTCCAACATTTTGTCTTTTAATTCTTTAAATTTATTATTATTATTACTATTGTGTGTGTGTTTGTGTGTGGGCATGCACTTACCATGGTACACTTGTGGAGGTTAGAGAATACCTTCTGGGAGTCTGTTCTCTCCTTCCACCATGGGTTCTTTGGGTCAACCTGAAATGCTAAAGCTCAGGTTGTCAAGCTTGGTGGCAAACACTTTTACCTGTTGAGCCATCTCAATACTCCAGAGATTATTTTTAATAATGTGTTCCGATCCAATGGTTTGACATTGTTTTTGGAAAATTATTGTGTTATCCTATTTCTTATATTTTGAGAACAATGCACATAAATTTAGCTCAAAATGTCTGTATACTTAGAGAATCTTATGCCATATTTAATTTTTCATCAAGTAGTAATTGTTCTAGTCAATTTTCTCAAAGCTATTTATATATCAAATATCATGCGTTCAAAATTTGGGGACTATTTTGCATTTGATAATGTAATTTCTCTCCCTAATTCGACTTAAAATTTTGTCTTTAGTTCCAGGTGCAGTATTTGATTTACAGATTGCAGAGGTGGAAGCAACAGAAATACAAATTACTTGGAAGAAACCACGACAGCCAAATGGCATCATTAACCAATACCGCGTGAAAGTGTCTGTCTCGGAGACAGGGGTCACTTTGGAAAATACTCTCCTCACAGGACAAGATGAGGTACTATACTTTCACTTACCATCTTTCTGCTTCATTTTGATAACTTGGAAGGTTTGCAAGTATTCAGCATAAAATAGTTTTTATTGGATTTTTATGATTTTCATACAATATTGTTTGATGGCATTTAGATCACCTACCTTCTCTTCAACTCCTCCTGCTGCCCTCTGCCCAACTTAATAAACTTTCACACACACACACACACACACACACACACACACACAGACAGACACGGCCTATAGAGTATGATTTGTGTCCTGGATCCATCCCCTGGACCCACCAAGGGTTCCAACCCTTTAAGACACTATCTTTCCTCCTCCCAGAAGCTATCAATAAGTGTTTGTAAAATGCTCAGCCCTAAATGACACATCTTCAATGCAACCTCTACACTTAGGGTGACTGCATCTCTTAACTCTCACCAAAGAAGTTTCTTATGCAGCAGATGGTAATTAATACAGAACCCACAATTGGCCAATGTACAGAGAACAAGAGGCTGCAGAGTGCTTATCCCAGAAGAGAACACCTATGTCAAAATTCTGCCCCCCAAGACTCAGGGATCATTGAGGAAAAGGAAGTAGAAACATTGTGCCAGGGGTGGGGTGGATGACCACAAAGAAACAGTTTTCCAAACAGCTGGCCCTTTACTCATATGAATTCAAAGCAATGGTGACAGCACACACAAGTCCTACGCAAGCACAAATCAGACAAAATCCCAGCACAGACATGGGGAAGTGGGTAAAAAACTCCAACCCAACTTGAGGAAGTTTTAGCATAAAAGATTTGAAAAGCTTCCTAGCACAAAGTCAAGTAAATTGGTGTATGTTGAGATATGAGCTAGATCATGTTTCATTTTAGGACATAATAGTTAAGTGCTATTACTCTTTTTTAAAAAAAATTAGAACATATTTTATTACTTTTTATTTTATGTGTGTGAGTGTTATACCTGCATGTGTGTAAGTGCACCTGAGTCGTGCAATGCCTATAGAGGTCAGAAGAGGGCGTTGGATCACCTGGAACTAGGGTTACAGAGGGTTCTTAACCACCATGTGGGTGCTATGACTCAATCCTGGGTCCTCTGCAGGAGCAGCCAGTGCTTTTAATCACTGAGCCATCTCTCTGGTCCCAAGTGCTATTAAAAAAAAAGTTCATTGAATAATCACACAGAACTAAAGGTACTTCTAAAGGTTGGTTTTATTATGCTAATCCAGTTATTGAGTTTTTTGGAAATTCTTGTATGATTTAAACGCTCTCTCAAAGGCTTATAATTAGAACAGCTGCCAGTGAAAGGCTACTGTCCGCAGGTGATTTTGTCCTATTTGAACATGAGAAACTAAAGGTCTCGGAGGTGCAAATGTACATATGATTGATAAAAATGCATAGCTAAACAAAGTTAAATCTTTCATAAATTTAACAGGAAAGGGCTGAGTCTTTGAGTAATACATTACTTTTATGCACAGTGGGTGTCTTATTTTCCCCCTTGTTTCTGTTAGGAAGTACAGGTAGCATGATGGGGCTCCACTATCTTCGTTTCCTGGCCTAGGCAGCTGCTCTCCTGTTAAGACCTTCAAAGCCCCCAAACTTCTCCTATCCATATAGTGGCTGCCTTGCTAAGGCTAAATATACTTAGGACAAGAGTAGTGATCAGTGGGCCATTAGAGATGAGTATGACAGTTATTAAGAACTTGGCCTCTTCTATTTGGAGGTCAGAAATGCTATTGTTTCTATTATACTGTTGTTTCCCACACCTCCTCTGTTGTCAAATTATTTCTAGTCCCAAGGTCCTTTAATTCTGGAACTTAACTTGAAAAGTTAACTATAGCATGGAACTCAGAGCAGTGTGTGGCTGCTGGGGACGTCTCACTCCAAGTTGTTATCCACCCCCATTCTCACATTAAACTTTAATTCTATGTTGAGTCCCTTCTTCTGTGTAAAGGATGTTGGTTTATGATTTGCTGATACTCTAGTTGGCATCTCATCAAAGAGCAGGAGCTTAATTGTTTGTCCCTGCTAAGAACATCTTCAATTAGATACTTAACTTTTTTTGGACTAGGTGACAAGTTTCCCAAGTTTGTTAGTGACATCTACTGAACAGTCTGTTTTTCTCTGGAAGCGAAACAGTTCTAGAAAGGCTAGTTTGTTATCTTGTCACATACTAGAAAAATGTGAGTCACACAAATCTGGATTTAAATATGGATCTGGCTCTTACTGGGCCAAAGGTTACCAGTGCAGGACCCAGAAGGCAAATGGTTGGGTTGAGAGCCTGGTTCTTCTATTACTGACAGCTTAATCCAAGGAGAGTTGGCACGATCCTTGTGAACTTCAAATTTAAGACCGAATTACAAAACTTCCTGTAACAAAGAATCAATGATGAGAGTTTAATGGGTTTCTGTGTATAAAAAGCTTAGCATTGTAGCTGGCATGTAGCAAATTTTATGTTAATATTGTGACCAGTTGAGATTAATCTTGACATTAGACCCTCTATCCCACTTTGCCACATAGGCAAGGTTAACTTCCAGGGATCTCATCCTGATTCCTTTGGGCCCATCAAGTTTTTATGTAGATTTTGGGCATCTGAACTCTGGCCCTCATATTTTTGAGGCAAGTGCTTTAACAGCTGAGCCACCTCCTCAGTCTAAGCTTTCTGATAGGGATGGAAGTATAAGACAACAGACAGAATGTGGTCCTTGATTATCTTTTCATTGTCCGTGGTACCCCTTTCAGGTTAAGCTCTCTGCTCTCGTTCACTATTGATTAGCTTCCGTTCTTTGTCTCAAGAACACTTTAAATCCTTGAAATCTTGGAAGTAACATGTGTCTTCAGTGTGAAGTACTGAGGTTGAATCTCTTTAACCATTTTTATGGTTAATATATTTCTTCTCAAAAACAAATATTTTATTTTCCTAAATTCATCTCTATGTCCCTTACTCTCTAGCATTTTATACCATTTGCTCATTAATTCATCTGCTTTTATATACTGCAACTTTATAATACTTTGGCCTTAAATAATTAAGAAGACAAAAAGCTAGCAGTTATTTTTAGTGTTTTCTAATACCTTTATAAAAGTGTTCCAGAGAGCTCTTTTCTCAGCCATCTCCTATCTCACAACACTTTGTTTGTTTGCTTGGGTCTGCCTTAGCCCAAATTGGCTTCAAGCATGCCATGTAATTGAGGCTGATCTTGATCCTCCTGCCTCCAGCTCCAAAGTGCTGAAATTGCAGATGTATACTACCATGCTCCCAGCATAAAACACATTAAAAAATGATCTCGCATTTTCAATCATTGGTTCCTAGGTGTATTCCTTTTTATTTACTTTGATCTTTTATTTCTGATACTGTGAAATCCTAACTGTACCTATTAATGGGACAATTCTGTCATGGTTCAAGTATATCTAAAGTCCACCTCCATGAAACAAAGCACAGAAGAACTAAACAAACTTCTCCTTGGGATAACAGGATGATGGGAATGGGAGGTGGGAAGGAGATGAAGCTATGTTCTAGAGATGGAGATCTTAGGGCAGAAATTCTGGTGACCGGTAAAGATTCTGCAAGCTACACAGAGGAAAGATGGACCAGGCAATTAATGGTTTCAGTGTGACAAGAAAAATGTCTGAAGAGAGGCTCACCCAAAGCTTGAGTATCAAGTTACAGGTACTTCATCTCTTGAACTTAATATGCTACAGCTTTCTGACTTGATAAGTGCTCTTTAAGAATCGTGATTCAGGTTTTAAGAGTAAGCATTTATAGTATCTGCTTTTTCTATTAGAATAGTGGCACTACTGTCCCCCATCCAATGAAAGTTAGAAATACTGGATGAAGTCTTCTACAACCTAGGTTCTCCTTTGCATTCAGAAGTCACATAGTGGTAAGGGCAGTGGTTTCTGCCTTTAGAGGACAACTTTCCTGCATCTGCTTCATTCCTTTATCCTCATTCTTGCTCAGGATTCCCATAGTGTCTTCTCTGGACTGTCACAGTATCTCATTTTGTGTTATTTTCTCGTTGTTACACAGCCATATGACAAATGCTCATCAGCTTTGAACAACTCACATCTGTTATCTCACAATTTCTGTGGGCCAGAGTGCAGATACAGCTTAACCAAGGTCTCTGCTTAGGGTCTCATAAGGCTTCCGTCAAGGTGGAGGTGTGGAGGCTTGACTGGAGGATAACCCATTTCCAGGCTCCCTCGGGTGTTTAGCAGACTTAAGTTCCTTTTGTCTGTAGAACTGAGGGTCTTTGCTTGTCTGCTCTTACTTGGTGCCTTCGACTTCTAGAGAACCACAACAATTTCTTACCAACTGGGCTTTTCAACATTACCATTTAGTTCATCAAACCAGCAAAGGAGGGTCCGTATAGTGTTACGTGGTCATGCAGTGACATCCCATCCACTTTATCTTATTTCGTTACTCAGTTGCGAGTAACAGGACCCATCTCACCTACAGGAGGGCAGGATTATATAAAAGCCTGAATGGCAGGAGGATGAGGGTCTGAGGGGCTGCCCACCACATGGTTCACACACTTTTTAGTCCTTAGTATATTACTTATTCTATTAAAGTAAAGAAGTGCAATTCGAGAACAGATGAGGAAAGTGTGTATGTGTGTAAGTCATCTAACCCCTCCCTAGTATAGCAGAAAGTCAGAAGGTACTAATAGAAAGTAGTCTTAACAGGGAGGGTAAGCACATTATTCAGTGATTTTAGAAATAAACACAGCTGAAAACAGAAATGGTTAAATATGTTGTATTTTGACTGGTGTGGTTGCATACACCTTTAATCCCAGTGCTCTGGAGGTTGAGGCAGGTAGATCAGATATGACCTACCTAGCAAGTTCTAGGCTAGCTGGAGCTACAGAATCTCTCTCTCTCTCTCTCTCTCTCTCTCTCTCTCTCTCTCTCTCTCTCCTATCTCTCCTTTCTCTCTTCTCTTTCCTCTCTGTATCTCTGTCTCTGTCTCTCTCCCTCCCTTCTTAGGAGGAAGGTCCTGAGCAGGAAGGTATGGGCAAAAGCATTGCTTTCTCATGATCATCTTCCAGCATTTCCCTCTCTCCTGCTTTCTCTGTAGCCTATGTGTGTATATCATGATGATGAAAGGTTTAAACATAATTACGTTATACTCTGTCTCACTGGTCATCATCTACATTGGAATTTTTTTTCTCATTACCATTCATGGTTTTATTTGTATGTTTCTTAGTAAGTAGGGCTTGTTAAAATAATAGAAATATGACTCAGATTGAATCTTGAAGCTTGCAGCCTTTTATTTCAACTTCCCAATTTATACATAATTTTGTTAATCAACAGCTAGAAATGCAACCTCTACTAAAATATTTGACTAACTCTGATGTTAGGCTATTAGAACCACAAAAGCAGCTCCTATCCAATGAATTCTAAAACATATCTCACCATGGTCATATGGCATCTATTAAGTAACTAGGAGGTTTTATGTATTCTATTAAGCCCAGAAAATACATAGATGAATAAGAAGTCATGCTATTCTTTATTTGTTTTGAGATGAACTGTTTTCTTTCTAATGTTTGCTAGTTGACTTAACTCTCCTCTCTAGAACTGATCATATATTATAGTGGTTTGAACATGAGATTTTAAACTAGGAAAATACTTTCCAACCCTATTCTACTATCACTAGCTTTATGAGCTTAGTCAAATTACTATAGAAAGGAACTGAAATTTCTTTACTGTGTAATGAAGTGAAATCACATAGGCACTAGTGTTTAGCATTTTGATGTCTGGTAGCTTAAAATGCTAGTCTGTATAGTAGTATGAAATGATTTAACTTTTTACTGTGGGGGACAAGAGACAGAGCTTTCTTGAGGTTTAATAGCTTCCGTTTCATTAGTTCTGGTTTCTAGGTCCTCTTCACTGAGGGCTACTCTTCTGTGTATACTGTATAGTTTGTCAATGATCTTTTCACTAAACTGGGCACAGTATACTGTATGAAGTTAACCTAGACCCACATGGAGCAGAATAATTTCTTCTTTGGTGTAAATTTTCTCCTGTGAACACAAAGATTAAAATTGATTTCTTCGAGTGCATCATTCTTCTGAGACTGAAGTACGAAGACCCTTAAAGTCATCCATTGTCCTTGGAATGATTTTTAGTGAATCTCACACTTTGGTATGACCTGAGGCAATTTTCTCCAATAGACATCATCTTGCCTCCTGGTATTACAGACTTCTGAGGTCAATATTGATGCATCCTTTCATCCTACAAATTTCTCAAGTATATAAGTGTTTTTCCTTGGTGAACCTGAAGAGAGAACCATCTGAATGCTTGGTCAGTTGGTACAAAGGAGGGTGACTAGCTAGGAATGCCTGAGAAGAATGGTTTGAGCACAGATGGAACAAAAACCTGATTTAATCCTTAAGTATTTGTTCATCCACATAATGTCTGAAATGATACGGCATCTTTTAGGAGGCTTCTAAGATATGCTAATTGCAGACATTTCTTTTTACTCCTCGATGGCAATGTAAATTATATATTAAAATAGAAGTATCAATTAAGAATAACTCAAACATTTCGTTAATTCATTTCAGCAGAACTCCACTGAATCTAAGATGATAGATATAATGCTTCTTTAAAAAATAATACATTCACACTTATAATAATGAAGGTTATTACATGTAAAATCAAGTTGGTTTATTCAGGTGGATTAGGAATTTATGTCTGAAGACTTCTAGTTCTTTCACATAAATTCCAAGGATTCCTGGGTAGCATATGCCAGGCCTTTCATGTTGATGAATTGTGACATTCCCAAACTAAGTGGTTCTCAACTAGGGGCAACTTTACTCCACTTGAAACATATGGTAACCTCTGAAGACTGTCTTTGTCATAACTAAAAGGATGCTTCTAGTGAGTAGGGACCAGAGATGCTGCTAAACATCCTATAATGTACAGTACAGCACAAGACTCAGAAGAGAATTATCTAATACAGTATGTCAACAATGCTCAGACTGAGTCATGTGCACTCGGTAGGTGTCAGACTTTAATGTGTTGCAATGGGTTTTATTTTTCCACTTAGTCCCCTCATTTCTACCTGTTTGTCTCTACCCTTCACATTTCTCTTTTAAATCTAATTCCTTCTGGTCACTTTTGCTCTTTAAATTCACTACATGTTTTCTCTTTGGAAAAACCCAATATCTAAACTAATGTCATTTTGAAAGAGACAAAGGATGAGAAATATTTATTGCCTGGGGACACATAATAGTAGCACTCTGGGTTGGTAGGAGAGCAATCTCAATAGTTTAGCGCCCCAGTTTTGGAGGAAGTTTCCAATGGAAGCTAGAACTGAGGAAGATTCAGAGTAAAGTATCCAAGTCAACTCTTACATCAAAATGACAATTTATTAACAGAGATGCACAACTTCATTAATTCATGGAATGCTGTAGTTGCATCTTAATAATTAATTTGACACATGGTAGAATATATTGAGAGATTTAATATGCAATCATAGTTTAAGGGGAAGTTCTTTAAGCTGTATCATGGTACCGTCTACAGTGCTTTGGACTTGGGAGATTTTCAAAAGATGAATGATTGATAGTGGAAAGAGCTGTGTGGTTTGGGCATAACCCTTTGGTTAGAATACCAGAACATCTCTGCCTAAAGTGTTAGTGATTCATGTTCTCTGTGATTTGCCTATGGAGTCAGAGCGCAAGTGAGCTGTAGGCAGACAGAAAACCAAATCATTTCTTCGTTCCACCTGAGCTTCCCTATCTTGGGTTCTTTATCCTAACATGAATGTCTATGGATGTTCCCCGCTTTTCCCCACAATATTTTTATGTCAAAGCATTTAACATGATTTGGATGATTTATATGTGTATGCGTGCGTGCGCGTGCGTGCGTGCGTGTGTGTGTGTGCTTGCCCACGTGTGTGAGAGGCTGATATCAAGATCAGGATGTCTTCCTCAGTTGCTGCTTCACCTTATGTTTTGAGACCAGGTCTCTCACTGAATCTGGGGCTGATTTGGTTAGACTGGCTGGCCACCAGACCTAAGGAATCTGCCTGTCTCCCTGCTACTGCTTTTATTTTTTGCCTATGTCTGTGTGTGTGTTGTGCATATGAGTATGCATGTTCCCATGTGTTTGGGAGCATGTGTGTGTGCATGTGTGTGCTGAGGCCCAAGGCTGATCAAGTGTCTTCTGTAACCTCTTTCCACTTAATTTATTCATTGAGGCAGTATCTCTTAACGGAAGCCAATGCTTGTACACCTGGTCCAGTTAGCCAGCTTGTTCTGAGAATCCGCTGTCTCTTGAGTCTTGAGTGCTGAAATTATAGGCAGGCTGCCATGATGCCTGCACTTACATTGGTGCTAGGGACCTAAACTCAGATCCTCACTATTATGCAGTAAGCACTTTACTGCCTGTACCATCTTCCCATCCTCTGGATAATTTTATTTTAGCAGTATTGTATGGGAGACTGGAGTTTTCTTGAATAATTGTTTTGAAAACACTAAGGGCATTGAGAGCAAAAAGAAAGAGGAAACCCTGGTTTTTACTGGAAAAGTCAAACCAAAACATGTAATGTAAATTATGAGGCAGGGATTCCAATACCTAAGAACACATGAAACTTTCATTTTCAATTTATTATAAATATTAACCGTACAAGAGCACATCATTGATAAGAAACAGAATAAATTCTTTAAAAGGGGGTTTTGGAGGTGAGTTTTGAAGCAGAACTTGGAAAGTTTTTCATTAAAAAGGTAATTTTGACATTTTCTTTAAAAAATACTGTATTGGGGGAAAATTTAAACAGATATGATGGTGTAGAGAAGTATATGGTAAGACCCCATAAACCCATCACCTGGATTCAATAACTATCAGCATTCTGCAGTGTTCCTCCAGCTGCTCCTATTGTTACTGCAGCAGAGAAACAAATTTAGAAACAAATTCCAGACTTCACATCCTCCCTGCTCCTTCATGCCTACCTAGCAAGGATCTCTAAAAACTGAACATGAGTTCATTCAATAATTCTATGACTACAACCATAATCAAATGTCTGTGTTCATCTTTAAAACCTATGTTGATTAATCTATTCAAATTAGAGTCCAAAGTCTTCATCTTGAGACAGTACTTTTTGGTTAGTGATTAACATTATTTTCAAAGCTAACATTCTACACAGACATCTAATACTGTCTAAGCAAAATTCTTTTCCCTGTTCTATTTCAGTCAGTTACTCTGGGTTGGGATTAGTGAGGGAAAGTAGCATCATGTTGTTCCCTTTACCTATCTCTACTATATGAATCCATAGTCTGCTTCTGATGTCTCGCTTCAATATCTGCCACTGTGGTGAACTTGACATGTATGAATTATATTGTGGGGTGTAGGGCCAAGGACAGTTGCTCACGGTTTCTCTTAGGACCTTTGACAGGTGTGTGGTGAACCCTGCTTCAAAACTATTGGCTTTCAGTTTTCTTTGTGTCTGTAACTTCACTTGATTATTAATTATGATATCACTGTTATTGATAGCAAGCAGGTATGGAGGCCTTTCACAGGGAGTATACAAATGAGGATGCTTAGAGAAGGAAACAAAACACATTTAATTAACAATTTTTGAATGCCTACTGTTGGGAAAATGAGATAAAATGCTTCAATATGAAACTTTAATCTTACCAGGAATAAAAACAATACAAGTCTGAAACAAATACCTGTTTCTTTTTAAAACACAATTTTAATCTAATAAGAAATAGGATGAACATATTATGTTATCACAATGTAGGATTTTAGTAGCTTGAGAATGAAGCCTTGGAAAGTAATGAAGATAATAGTCATAAATAGCATTGTCTTTTAAAACATGTAATTCCAAAGTGATAAATTTTAAGTCATGAAGCATTGAGTCTTCAGTCTTTGTACATACCTACTTTTAATTGCAGCACATAAACAACCCAATGTCTCCAGAAATGATGAACCTAGTGGACCCAATGATAGGATTTTATGAGGGCTCAGCAGAGATGTCTTCAGACCTGCACTCTTTGGCTTCATTTGTATATAACAGTCATCCATATGATAACTTTCCTGGCCAGATTAGAGCTGAAGACCAGAGTTCACCAGTTGGTAGGTAAAAGTTTAATTCTCTATGAAGTGCATTTAAACCATCAGCTAGCAGAGATATGAACCTGAGTTTAGAGTTCAACCATGTTATTAATGGTCCATGGGCTGGAGTCAGATTGTTTTTAACTGTTGGGTAGCCGCATGCAGCAAATGGAAATGCCACCCAGGCAGGAGCTGCCCCTTCTAACCTAGCTGACCTTCTTCCTAGAGAAAGTAGCACCCTAGAGTCTCTAGCCAAGCTGCATAGACAATCAGTTATTACAGTTGCCAAAGCAGGTGTGATGGGGAGGGATTAACATATCTTCAAATCATTTACAGGCCTCACACTCTGCAGCTTTTGACTAATAGGTTTTCAAATGTCACTAAAGGTAAATAGGTCAGAAAGTTACAACTCTAGTGCATGGGGTGATAAACAGGTGTAGGTGACCCTGGGATGTGGTGATGTCATTAGTGCATACACTTGTGCTGCGGGGTCAATGGATCTTACTGTTTCTAAAAGAAGAATCTAATATATGGCAAATTGAAAGAAAATACATTGTTAGATAATACAGAGCTATCCTGTCTCTTTGGTTCTTATAAAATGTTAGATGGAAAAATATTCTATTTCATTACCTTATCTATGATTTGGTATTTGCCTTGTTTGAAATTGGAAGTGCTATAATGTTCTATTCATGGTAGAATTAGTAAAATAAAATTATATTTTATTCAATATGTGTTTATTGGTCTACTTTTCTTGTGTAAAGCAGACTGACACAACTCTAAAAATTAAGTGACACACGATTTCTGATTAAGTTATTCCCCCTAAATATTTCAAATTTAGCCTAGTTGCTGATTAAGAGGTTTGTAGGCACAATTTCTAAATAAAGTAAAAATTTAACATCATAATCTTTGTGTAGACATTTGTGTGTCAACTAAGCAAGAATGCTTGTTTAACACAATTTTTGAGGCTTAGCAAATATAAATTTTGAATCAAAATTAAGTTCTTGGTTTTGAATTCTGTTATTAAAACTTGTTTTTGATTGACAACACTTTCATCCTGTATTATTTCCCTAGTTTTTACTTTCTGAATAAATTCTTTAGCCAGTCTGCCTTGCAAAGTTATATTTTTTTCTAAAAATATTGCTATTATGTTCCAGAACAGTGTATAAAACTAGCAAAACTGTATTATGAACACAAAATATTTGTAAATATTATTGAGGAGTATTAGGGTTCTCAAAATATTCGATGTGATCTCTAAGATCAATAACTTCACATTTACTGTTAATTACATATCCAGCTTTTTGTATATGGGAGTGCATGAAGATGTTAATATTAATATGCATTAATTTTCATGAGAAAAATAATTTTATAGTGCCAATTCACTTTTTTTTTCTCATTGATTTCAAATAGTAACCACAAGGAATCAGCATATTACTGACATTGCTGCTGAACAGCTGTCTTACGTTATCAGGCGACTTGTACCTTTCACAGAGCACATGATTAGTGTATCTGCTTTCACCATTATGGGAGAAGGACCACCAACGGTTCTCAATGTTAGGACACATGAGCAAGGTACGATCCATTTCCTTTGAAACAATTGCCTGCAAATATTACTCTTGTGTGATGAATACTATTGCTTCTCCATTCCTACTTACTGTTCATTTTTCTTTTCAAGTGCCAAGCTCCATTCAAATTATAAACTATAAAAATATTAGTTCTTCATCTATTTTATTATATTGGGATCCTCCAGAATATCCCAATGGGAAAATCACTCATTATACGATCTATGCAATGGAAATGGATACTCACAGAGCTTTCCAGATGACTACTGTAAATAACAGCTTTCTCATCACAGGTAGAAGGAAAAGTTGTGTTTCTTTTCACACTCCTATTCTAATGGAAAATATATACCTTATTACACCTTAAATGTTCCAGGATACATTCTAGATTTTGTTGTATGCCTTTATGGATATAGTTAAAATACTTGTAGAAATAACTTAATTAAACACGTTTTCTTTAACTGTATTTATCCACAAAGAAATACAAGGCACAATTTTCACAGTAATTTACTTAACCTAGGGAATATTTTATTGAGTACATGAAAATAAAGGTTGTTGAAGACTTGACTGAAAGTGAAAATGAGCTGCGGCAAATCAGCTGACATGATGCATGTGCCAATTCTCTTTGTCGTGTGCCAAAAATTGTTTTTCAGCTTTACGTTATTGCTTTAATATTTTAGGAAAGATCTCTGATGCCTATGCAGAAACACCTTGAAGCCCAAGGATTGTGGGGAGGTTGAGAGTATATGGAACTTTAATTTAGACAACCAGTCCTCCTAATAAATTATTTGCATTAGCTCTATGGTAAATGGAACTAATCCAGTAAAGATTTTTTTTTTTAAACTTTGAGCAATCTTTTGTTCTTTTAGGGTTAAAGAAGTACACAAGATACAAAATGAGAGTTGCTGCCTCAACTCATGTTGGAGAAAGTTCTTTGTCTGAAGAAAATGACATCTTTGTGAGAACTCCAGAAGATGGTAAGAATAGCAGGTGCAGTTTTAATTAAAGAGAGAGAAAGAGAGAGAACACAAAGAGGTGTCACTTGTTTCCCGCCTCTATCTTGTGGCAGCTTCAGTGTCCAAAGAAATAAGTGTGAGAAAGTACATGTATTTTAAAGTTTGGGGCTGGAGAGATGACTCAGTGGTTAAGAGCACTGGCTGCTCTTGCAGAGGACCTGGGTTCTATTCCCTGCACCCACATGGTGGTAACTCCAGTTCCAGGGGATCCTACACGCTCTTCTGATCTCCCTGGACACTGCATGACACCGGTGCCTACCTACATACAGGCAATACACTCATACACATAAACTAAAAAACGAAATAAAATACATTTAAATAAGTGTTTGTTTTCTTCTCTCAGAGCCAGAGTCATCACCCCAAGATGTGAAAGTAATTGATGTTTCTGCAAGTGAAATAAGGTTGAAGTGGTCTCCACCCGAGAAGCCCAACGGGATTATTATTGCTTATGAAGTGCTGTATCAAAACATAGACACTTTGTTTATGAAAAACACTTCAACAACAGACATCATTTTAAGTCACCTAAAACCTTACACCCACTATAACATTTCTGTACGATCATATACCAGACTTGGTCATGGAAATCAATCATCCTCATTACTCTCTGTAAGGACTTCGGAGACTGGTAAGCTCCCCCCCCTTCTTTCTCTTTTTGCTTAAAAATTCATGGTGATGATTTCCTTGCTTTATTATTTTAAGGCTTAAAATTATCATTGTTAGTTTTTGTGTAACTGAAATTGATTTGCTTTTTCTGGCAAAAATGTAGGGAGAAGGCTTAGCTGTGGAAATTAAAAAGATATTTTTATTGATTCTTTGTGAACATCACACAATGTATTTTGATCATATCCTCCCACCCCAAACTCCTGCTTGGTCTACCCTCACCTCCCTACCCACCCACCTTCCTGGTTTCATTTCCCCATCAAGTCCAGTATGTTTGCCCAAATGTTCTTTGCTGTGGAACCTGCCCTGGACTGTGATCAATCTTCCAGGGATCATCTCTTTGAAGAAAACTTCCTCTCCCAGCAGGTATAAAATGCTAATAGTTGTGAAATTTTTTTTAAAAATTGATTTTCTATATAAAAAGATTTTCAATAAAACTCAGTGACTTGTTAGGTTAACATACAGTGGAGATTTCATGGGCACCGCTTCCATAGCATGTCTAGAATACATTAACTAGCAGCAGGAGTCTTGTCCCTCTGACTGTTACATCTTTCTGTCTCCCCTTCTGTAATATTCCCAGAGTCTTAGGTGTAGAGGTTGCACTGTAGATGTATCACTTAGGACTGGGCATCCCACAGTTACTTATTATCTGTGTTTTGACCAGTTGGGAACTCTCTAATAGACTCCATCTGTTGCAAGAGATGTTTCTTTGATGAGTGATGAGAGCACCTTGATTTGTGAACATAAGGATGCTTATTTGGAATATAGTAAGAAATTATGTTGGTGTAGGAAAGTGGCAATAGTAGGTTCTGCTTTAGGGTCTGTGACCTCTCCAACCGTGTGTATTTGGCTTTGTTTTACCATAAGGTAAAAGTGCCACTATTATATTTGCTGTTGGTGCTTTTAGGCTTTACAATTAAGTAGAATCATTGATCATTTTTCTCCCTAGGCAGCTTGCACCTTCTGATTCCATGAGAGAATAATACTAAACCAGTTGACATTCCAAAATGAATGGGGAAAATTTCATGGGGCCTCACCTATAGATAAAAGCTATAGGTTATCAATGAATGCTAAGGAAGGGACAATTTTTCATCCAGTCTTATTCAGAGCCTAGCTCCCTAGCTCCCTAGTAGGTTATCAGATTCCAAGTGGTCACTTCTAAGCACATGTACACACGAGTACCACTAAATGGACTCAGTGCATTGTATTAAAAATGTATGTATTTATGTGTAAAAATACTAATCAAAGAAAAGAACTAGAAATTTATAGGGGAGGGGAGTGATGGGAAGAGTTGGAGGGGGCACTGGGAGGGGTGGAAATAATGCAGATTCAATACTTAAGTATGAAATTCTCATAAAAATTATTTTACAAACATCAGTGAGGGATGGGTGTGGTGGCGCAAGTTTTTAATCCCAGCATTTGTGAGGCAGAGGTCTACATAGTGAGTTCCAAGCCAGCTGGACCTACAGAGAGACCCTGTCTCAAAAAGACAAAAAAAATCAGTGCATTGTTCAAATGAAAGATCTTGAGAAACCAAAGGTTCATTCAATATGTCTGCAGATTTTAGGTTGAGTAACTACTTGACTTTCAATTCAGCTCAACACAGAGATGCACTTGTAGGACTAGATTCTTACACCCTAATGGAAGTAGATAGATAGTGCAGAGTGGGAGCACAAGTTGCATGACAGACGATTTTGGTCTGTGTATTAATGAGAAGGCTGATTGGGCAGGAGGATCATTGGATAGGCAGGTGGAGGGGAGATACTCCAAATAGCAGAAATAATTCAGGCACAAAGTGTGTTTCATTTCCTGTGATACATGAGTAAATGGCACAAAACAAACTATTTTGCCTGATAATCTTGGTTTGTTGTTTTACATTGTGCCTATAATAACATATTAGGTCAAATATACAATGCATGCTAATTAGAACTAATTGTAAAACTACTTTTCATCTGTACATTTAAAGAAGCAAATTTTTATTGGCTAGCTACTTTTGGAGCTTCATAAACTTTCCATTTTATGGGTCATAAAGAGCATAATATTGGCAATCTCATATAGGTTAGCTATATAAAAATAAGTTCTGTCCTTGACCTTGCAGATCTAGAAATCTAGCAAAAGCTTACATTTCAGTGCAAGTAATGTCTTGAGACTCTGCACAGATTAATGTCATGAAATGACATTAAAATGCCAATAGAGAAAGACAGTAATTACAACCACAGGAATAAGAGTGAAGAAAGGAGCATTTCACATCACCAAGAAATGTTACAGCCCTTGAACTAATCTTAATTGATATCAAATTCTATATTATCATGCCTCATTGCTTTTAGAGATATTGAACCTAAAATCAGAAATTTTTTTAGACTAGTAACTGTTCTTGAGTGACTCAGTTTTATTTCACATTGAGCCAAAGGAAGAAAAACACGTATTTTGAATGTCATGATTTCTGTTAATGGCTTTCATACAAGTTGACTTTTTAAATTCTAGAGTAAACATTATATTTTTATCATCTCATGAAAAACTGAGGCTCTGAGAAGGTCATTCTTTCAAAAAATATTTACAATATTCCAGGTCCTATTGTACATATAGAACTGTAATAGGAAATGGCTTCCTGTTCTCCTAAACTTCATATTAATTGGTGGGAATTTACTTGTTTAAGGTCAGCCAGCTGGTAAATGATAAACCTGGAGCTGAAAGCAAACCTACTAGACTTATAAAACCCATTTCACTCTCATCAGACACGTTGGAAAATTAAAAAATTATATTTAGAACTGTTCAGTTTGCTGGGGTGGTGTCTGGCTATTTGAACTTTGAATAGCATGAGGAAGAAAAGTAATAAGTGTCAAAAATCTATTATAATATTAAAGAATCACTAAATTCATGAACATCTATCAGATCTTTTACTAGTTAGGTGGTTATCATATCAAGAACAGCTTATTTTAATGATGAATTATGAAACAAATTTTGTTTCCTGATAATTACAGGCATGCAAGCTTTCACTTTGTATTGGAAAATGCATTCAGTTTCCATTTTGTTATCTGTCTTGTGAACTTAATTCAAGGCAGGAATGAATGAATATAAAAATCTAATTTGAGATGTAATTTCAAATGAGAGTTTAAATTCTAGAAACGTATAACTTTTTATAGGCAAGGACAGCTAGCACTATTAGAATAAAATGACAAATCACAGTAGGTGAAGTAAAGTTGGGGCTTGATGGTAGGTCTCCTGAGCAACATTTCAGAATTCATTTATTGACCCCTGATCTAGCTAGAAAATTAGCAATGAGGAGGAGGAAACAACCTATCCCAGATCTTCCTAACTCACCTGGTCTGGTAGGTCATATTGGGCTGTCTTGATAAGTAGACTTCTGAGAAACGAAAAGCCTACTCAGGGAGGATTTTATTCAATATCCTGTATCCTAACTTTTGGCTCACTATTCTGATGAGGTGGCCTCAAGCCCTGCATGTTCAATGTCTGTGTGGAAGTAGAAGAAAGTGTCATCATGAGTTTTCCCAGGTCATGTTGAATTATTACAAGCTTTAGCTCTTTTGGTAGAAGATGACGTGATTTAGTAGGGACCCAAAATATCATTAGAAGAATGGGCTCAAAGCCAACTACCTGCCCGTGCTTAGAACTCAATAGTATTATCAAATAAAGTAGATATATTTTTTCTTTTCAAAAACTATTTTTACTGAGTTTTTATGCATTTCATATAATAGATCTTAATCAAATTTAGACCCGCTCCACTACCACTAACCCCTATAGCCCCCCTCACTACATTTCATGCATTCTGTCATATATTAAGTCCTATCAGGTCAAGTATTTGTACCTAGATGACCCTTGCTGCAAGTTTGTCCACTAGAGTCTAGTCAGCCTATCCAGTCACTGCCTTAAAGAAGTATTATGCTCCATCACTCTGCAGTAATTAGTTGTCAATAATTTCTCGGTTAGGACTGGGGCCTGCTGCCCAATTCCCCAACAACTGGGAGGGATGTTTTTCCCTATATAGCCTTCAGGATACATGCACTCATGTTCAGATACTGTATGTGTATTTTTCAGGGGGTAAAAGGCCTATACTTCAGTTAAATTTTATGAGCCATTCATTGCTGTGATGACTCACTGATGTGTTAATGCTACTTAGTAGTGTCTTCAAGTGCTTCATCCTGTTTAAATAACTAGTTTACATAAGCTAGGAAGTTTCCGTATACTGGTTTTGTGTGTATATGTGTGAGTGAGTTGGGATGCGTAGCTGTGTGTTTTCATTTTAAAATGTGCAGTTTACAATTGAAGTTAGATCTCTTTTCTTGTGTTTAGTGTGCAGTAATCACAAAAATAGCTTTAATAGGACCAAAAAGTATTCCTTTAACATGTATAGATTCTCTTTCCTTCTTACCACATAGCTTTCCTTACAGTTAGCCTTTAAGTAAAAACCTTGATATTTCCTAATTTTGGGAAAATAGGCACTAATAGATATAGATGTAGACCAAGATTCTGAATAGAATTCTGTGAAGTCTTGTATTAATGAATAGCATCTTTAAGTTAGTCTGTATGTTTCCCACTTTTTGAAACAAATATATATATTTTTAAAATTTCGTGTTGTATGAGTGTTATGCCTGCATATAAGTAAGTGCACCCGTGTTGTGCAATGCCCGCGGAGGACAGAAGAGTCTGTCAGATACCCGGGAACTGGAATTACTGACAATTGTTAGCTGCCATGTGGGTGCTGGTATTAGAACCCAGGTCCTCTGCAAGAACAGTCAATGTTCTTAACCACTGAGCCATCTCTCCAGCCCATATTTCCCACTTTTATATACCAAATAAAAAGCCTTTGGACATCTTCAAAATAGCTTCCGTCATTATTGTCAAATTCAACTGGGTAACTAGGATCAGGGGCAATAGCCAGCATTATGGGTCCATGGGACCCTTGGTCGGCAGCTGAAAAACAGGGAGTCCATTCCTGGCATCGGGCTTTTACTTTGCTAACCTATAATATATAGTAGAGGCAATGTCCCCTGTTATAAGGTAATTCCTTCTAATCTCTTTATATACATATACTTTAAAAAGTTATGTAGTGGTTGTATTTCCATATGACTTTTAGTGTTACTTATCCCTCCCCATACTCCATACTCTGCCCTGCCATCCCAGTCTTCAGTCAACTTAACCCTTCCTACTCTGTTATTCCAGTTTCCCCCTTTAAATCACTGGATCCTATCTTCCCTCCCCAAAAGCTCCCCCACCCCTACCATGTCTGTTTTCTAGTTTCCTATCATCTATGTATTTTTCCAGTTGAAATACACATATCTAAGGATTTAAAGCTAACATCCACTTATGAAAGAGAAAAATGTATTTGTCTTTCTGGGTCTAGGTTACCACTCTCATGATGATTTGTTTCCAGTTTCATTCATTTCCCTAAGAATTTCTTAATTTTATTTTCTGAAAAGATGAATGATACTCCATTGTGTAAATGCACCATTCTCTCCTTATCCATTCATCAGATGATGGATATAAAGGTTGTTTCCATTTACTGGACATTGTATATGAGTGTGTTGTGAAAGAGCATTGGGTCCCCTGGAAACTGGAGCAAATGGCAGTCGCGAGCCACTAATATGGGCAGTGGGAACCAAACTCTGGTCCTCTGGAAGGGCAGCAAGCACTCTAAATTGCTGAGCCATCTCTCCCATCCACAATATCTTGAACTTTTAGGAGACGAATTTACTATCAGATTATATTATTCAACTTCACATATCCAAGATAATTTTTTTCTTTTTGTTTTAAATTTTTTTATGATTTTTATATGTGTGAGTGTATTGACTGCATGTATGTAAGTGCCCCTGTATTGTACAGGGTTTGCAGAGATCAGAAGAGGGCATTGGATCCTCTGGAACTGGAGTTACAGATCGTTGTTAGCTCCCATGTGTGTGCTGGGAATTGAACCTGAGTCCTCTGCAAGAGCAGCTGGTGCTCTTAACCACTAAGCCACTTCTCTAGTCCCTCTTTTTGTTTTTTTGAGGCAGGGTCTTCCTACAGCTCTAGCTAGCCTGGAACTCACTGTATAGACCAGGCTGGACTCAATCTCACAGAAATTCACCTACCTCTGCCCCCGAGTGCTAAGATTAAAATATCTTTCATAGTCAACTTATTTGTAAGCATTATGAACAAGATACTCTATTAACTAGCAAACTTAGCTAAAACATTGGTTTCAACTTAAAACATTGGGGTTATCCTTAGATGTGTAAGTGGAAGTCTGATTTTCTGCTTTTATTCCATAAAAAAAAAACTTCTCTCTCAGGTTAAAAGGACTCACATTCCTTTTCATATGTTACTTGGGAATAAAGTAACCATTGTGTGAAAAGCAAAAATACCAATTTGCAACCCTCTCCTCAAATATCTTGTATTGTTATTCTGCAGAATAATAGCTGGAGTTTTCCTTTGAGATGACTTTTTTTCCCTCTACAGTTGTTAGGTGTTACAATTTATATGCACTTTCCTCCACTCAGGATGTATAATACCATCCCACTGTGGTTAGTATTTGTATTTAAATATAGTATTGAAATTGTGTGATAATTTTTCAAATGAGATTTTTAGGATGCAATTATTTTATGAAATTACATCTTCATTTATTTTCTCAGTGCCTGATAGTGCACCACAAAATATCACTTACAGAAATATTTCTTCAGGAGAGATTGAGATATCATTTCTTCCTCCAAGTAGTCCCAATGGGGTTATACAAAAATATACAATTTATCTCAAGAGAAGTAATGAAAATGAGCGAAGAACTATAAATACAACCTCTTTGACTCAGAACATTAAAGGTAAAACAATTAATGTAATGTTTAATGTTCACATTCGTATTGGCAGTGCGACCACAAAATATTAGCCTAATGTGTTTAAACGATTGAACTACGATTATTTCTATCCTGGGACTAAAAATTTTTGGCAAAATAATGTAGAAATTTCCAGAAAGTCATATGAACAAATGAATACTGTAGGTCCATCCTTATCTACATTAGCTTGTATTTTGTATTCATAACAGGATTTTTTTTAATGTGTATATGGGGTGTGTGTGTGCGTGTACACGTGTGCATGTGTGTGTGCACGTGTGCATGTGTGTGCAGATGTCAGTGCTACAGAACACATGAGGAGGTCAGAGGACAACATTGGGTGTTGATCCTTGCCTTTCTTCTTGTGTGAGGCCAGGTCTCCACGTTGTTTACCTCTTCACAGTATAAACTAGGCTAGTTGATCTGGGAGCCTCTGTGGATTCTCCTGTCTCTACCTCCCATCTCACCATGACAACACCAGGATTGCAGTTCTGCACTACTGTTCCTGTCTTCACATGGATTCTGGGGATTAAACACAGGTCCTCAGGATAGCATGACAAGTGCTTTACCCACTGAACCATCTCCCTAACTTTATTGTATGAGTTTTATAATGCTAACAAATTATTATTTATTCAGCTCTTACTTCTGAAAGAATGTTGAATTGAGAGCCATTTCATAGTTTACCTCTTGTCCATAACATTCTATGTGTCAATTTACCTATTTTATTTCTATTTAGGACTGAAGAAATATACCCAATATATGGTTGAGGTGTCTGCTAGTACACTTAAAGGTGAAGGAGTTCGGAGTCAGCCAATAAGCATATTGACTGAAGAAGATGGTAAATACAGTAGTGCATACTAATACACTTAGGTTGCATAATATTTCAAGATAGATGTATAGATGATATTGGGCATATTCAGGGTGGTTTGCCTGTAGAGAGGAGACATGTAGAATGAAACCTATGGTAAAATTTCCTTTCACCTATGCTAACAGCACCAACACTAAATAGAGATTGCATCATCTTGGTGTAAGGCGGGCAGAAAAGCTATAAAATCAGATGCAAAATTATTTTTTTTTGCTTTGGTTTTTTGAGACAGGGTCTCATTATAGCCCCAGCTTGCCTGGAATTTGCTATGTAGACCAGGCTGACCTCGTTTCAGAACTCTGCCTTCTTCTGCCTCTCAAGTGCTGGGATTAAAGGTATATGCTACCATGTCTGGCTTTTTGTTTCTTTAGTTTTTTTGAAAGTCACTAGCACTGTATAAAAATAATCTCTTTTATTTGTGTGATTCTTTTGGAGGCCAAAGTTTTTGGTTGAATAATTTGAACATTATTTATGTTACAACAATATTTTTCAAGTTTTGGAGATTTTGTATATGAAAATTTTTAACATGTTTTATGGTATTAAGATTAGCTTGTTAATGAATCCAGGCTGTATTTCAGATTTCTGTACATTATAGGCCAAAAGCTACCTCTGAATGTTAATATATTTCACATTAAATATCTAAGCATATGTTTTCCTAACCTGAGTAAAATCAGCCTTACTACTATAACAACTATAACATTGGTACTTCTCCAAATAAAAGATTTATTTGGTGCTAAGAAATGACTTCTGAGGGATATACTTTGGAAGAGGATTTGGATTTTATATTTGGGATTTATTTTAATTTGAAACAATTGGCTTTTATGAAAAAGGAATTGTGACCATGATGGCTTGGATGTAGCATAGTGTTTATAGGAGATTTTCCTTTCCTTTCCCTCAAGATTTCCATCTTGAAGCTATCCTTTACCTAGTGGAAGTTCAGGATTTAGAAGCACTCATTAGAACAGACTGCTCAAGAGACACTACTTACTATAAGGAGAAAGGTTTTTCTGTGCATCACTCTCATTTTATTTTAAAAAAATAATATTTGTTCTGTGAACTTTAGGTATAGAAGTTTCACTGTAGATGCATCACTTAAGGCTTGTTATCTCACAGACACTTATTTTCTGTATTTGACAAGCTGTAGGACTCTGCAGTAGCCTCCATCTGTTGCATAAAAAAGCTTCTTTGATGAGTAGTGAGAGGTATACTTGTCTGTAAATATAAGGATCCATATTTAGCATATAGTAAGAAATTATGTCTGTCTAGGGATGTAACAGACATAGGTCTTTCTCTAGTACCTATGACCTATCAGACCATAGTGGAACAAGGGATAGAGAGACTATTAATTCATCTTTCAGCTCCTACCAGCAAAGCTTCCTCATGCACAGAATGCCGGAACTTGCTGAAATCTAGAGAATAAGGGACTAGAGAGTGTGTATCCCTGGATAGGAATCTATATTAAACCTCACCTACCCAGGGCTCAGGGACCATTGCAGAAAAGGGTCTGGAAAGACTATAAGAGCCATGGGTGGTGAATGATTACAAGGAAACAGGGTTTACCAGGTGGCTGGGAACTTGCTCATTTGAACTTACAGCAAGAGTGACAGCATGTACAAGACCTGTGCAAACTCAAACCAGACCAAAACTCAGCATTTAAGTGAGAAATAGATAAGAAGCTCTAACCTTAGCTATGGAACTTTTGGTAACTGACCACTGTGGGATGAGGAAGAGTTGGTCTTCTTTAAGAAAGTGATGCTAGATAAGCTGAACAGGTTCTAGTGAATAAACTCACATGGAGGGACATCTGGGGATTAACTTGATTCAATAGGCCTTAACATATATGACAGAGTGCATGAAATCCAGTGTGCAGGCTACAAGGAGGGTGCAGATAGGGGAGGGATTCTAAATATGATTAAAATGTATTGTATGGCATGCACAGACATTCACTAAATATATATTGCAAAAAATAAGGGATAATATGCATAATATTCTATTTTTGTTTTTTTCAATAAATATTTAACATGACTATATTGCTCTAGTCATCAAGGTTATGAGAGGGAACATGGTTCTTGTTCCTGGAAACTTTAGGTCTATTAAGGAGGTAGAGCTAGACAAAAGTGTCACTAAATACACAGTTTAAAAGTGGTAACAACTCTGAAGCAAAATGCAGAATACATACACAATATTATAAAAATGGAAGTTGTGCTTACTATTATAGCAAAAATTGTTATATATATTATATATGCATGTAAGAATAAAGGCTGAAACCAAGAAAAAATAATAATATAAAATTAATAAAATAGTCTGTTTTTAATTTGTTATTATTGAACTTTTGTATACTTCATACAGAATATCTCAAACAATCTTAATCATCTCTATAGCTCTGAACCCACTGGCACCCTCCCATAGACCACCCCACTGGAACCCATACCCTCTGTCATCCCTGTTAAGGCCCACTGTGTCATCAGTGTCCCTAGCTGTTCCTCAGTGCAAGTTCATCCACTGAGGCCTCGTCAGCCTATCTAGAGTCCCTTGTTTTACGAAGATCAGCTCTTTTTCACCTAGCAGCATCCCAGTCAACATTCATCAAAGAAGCTCATTTTGCATGAATCAGAGACTATTACCAACTATCACAACTAGTCACACGTGGATATTGCCTATGAATTGCCCAGGCCTAAGTGACACATCTACAATGCAACCTTTACACCTAAGGTTCATGGAACATAGAACACTGGTAAAGAAGACGACACTAATGAATCTCTCAGTTCTCAATAATGAAGCTCCCTCATTCAGCGGGGGTGCCAGGAACAAAAAAGGTCACAAATGGCCAAAGCTTAGAGATCAAGAGTCTGCTGAATGTTGGTCCTTGGACAGGACTCCTTTAATAGTCTTTGTTTTTAATATTATTCTCTCTTGGCAATTTCCTCTATGTTTTCACCTTTGCTAAAGCATCCTGGTAGTTAGTATCCACTGGCTTACCTCAGTTTCTAAGAGTCATGCCTTCATGGGTTAACATTTCCCCATCATTGGCTTTTTTCCACATTCTTGCTGTCTGTATTTTCATAGATCATCCTTGCTCTTGAAGTGAAAATTTACAAATAAATACTTCTCAATGGGTTAACGGTAAAAGGGTAGGGAAAGTTGGCTCTGTTTTCTGTTGTAGGTAATATCTAAGATGAGGTGAATTATATTATTTTAGCAATTGCCTTCTAGCATTTGTGCCCTCTTTTAAATTTCTGACCAATTAAAATGTCCTAGTTGTGAGACTTTGAAATCTAAAATGAATGGATCAAGGCCAATGGACATTTATAGTGAACAGGTAATCACTCAGATGAAGACTTCCAACCTGACTTTTTAATCTGAATCACCCAGGTCATTAATAATAGAGATTTTCAAGGTAAATGCCCATCTGAAATCTTGGCCATCTTGTGTGTTCACTGGGGACCCAAGAGAAGTTCAGGAATCCCTCCCATCCCTTCTTGAAAAATTCTAGCAAACTGATAATTGTCTGCAGAAGTTTGCTTTGTGGAGCGTTAGGATCACCTTGCCCTCAGAGAACTTGCAGTTTAGTTGAAAAGAACCAAGTTTGACAATTGTGTAGTGATTTTTTTATAATTGTAATTATTGGAAAATTGTTTCCAAAAATTATTCAATAAGGATGAAGAGGGACCAAAGCTACTCTGGGGCATCAGGGCAAGTGTAGCTGGAAGTCACGTCTAAGCTGTGACCTACAGGAAGATGGGTGAAGAGGGAGTGAGGAAAGAGGGTGGCAGCAGAGGGAGACCCCTGGGTCATGAGGATGGTTCCCATGCATCCCCATGCTTGACATGGTGAACCGAATGTATTGTATTAAAATGTTCTAAGTTTTATTCATTTTTAATTTCATTACATTCATTTATTTTCTGTCTGTAGGGGTTAGATCACATGCCATGATGCTCTTGTGGAGGTTAGAGGATAATGTTAAAAAACTGGTTCTGTCCTTGTACGATGCAGGTCTTGGTGACGGAATTCAGGTCAACAGGCTCTGAAATGAGCACTTTTGAGTGTTGAACCATGCTATTGGCCCTAAATTTCGTTTTTTAAGGTTATATTTAAGAATAAAAATTCTAAATGATTAAAACTGAATAGATATCTGCTATAGTTGATATCTAGTGTTTTGTTTTGATAGGCATGTTAATTATATTTACTTAGCAATAACATATTTTACATAAAAAGAAAATTATGGGGCTGGCAAAAATGACTCAACCGTTAAGAGCTCTGGCTGCTCTTGCAGAGAATCCAGGTTTGATTCCTAGCACCTACATGGCAGCTAACAACCATTCATAACTCCAGTTATAGGGGAATGCAATGATGCCCTCTACATTCACCAGCATTGCACTACATGGGTGCACTTACATACACGCAGGCAATACACTTACACACATAAAATGAAAACTAGTAAATAAATATTTTTAAAAATAAAATGATCAACTTTAAAAATTACAAAGTTTAACATAAAAATATGAAAATCATCAGCTATTCTGTCTGAGCATCCTAAAGCTTATTGTAAAATAAAGATATGAAGTTGCTACATGTTTGTACCTAACTTAGTGCCATTTTGTGATTGGCATCTTTATTTTTAAAAGTAAACAGAAATTATACTTCCAAAGATGCCAGAAGAATATTTGTAGGTTTTGATTTGATAAATGAGAAAGTTCTCAGTGAAAATTGATTCATACCATGGGAAACATACATATCTAAATTATATATTAATTCATCTGATGATCAGTATTCAACAACATTTTTATTGTAGTGCTGTTGAAAATAACGAAACACAAATGCCAATTAGAAGTGTCACCATTATTTTTTAACTCATCTCATAAAATAAATGTTTCTGTGCTTCATAATCTTTTTTATGGAAAAATATTGTGACTAAAATAAACACACACACACACACAGAGTTGTAGTGGAAATCACACAGAGAATTAAAGAGAAATTGAAACAGTTTAGGGAGCATTTTCTAAAAATAGTTGGAATTGTGTGATTCATACATAAAGCATATATCAGTTAACATAACTCAAGGATCTAAATAAATTTTTGCAAATTCTGTTAGCTACCTATAAGTTCACTTTTCATTCCTAAATGTAATAGCAAATCCAACTGTACTGTTGTATATTTTATATTCAAAATGCCATATTTTAATTTTCTAAGACATTATTATGCTGTTATAAAACAGGTTAGGATTGCCATTGTAAATGATTTATCTAAACAGAAATATAAACCTCACTTGCTAGTTTGCATTATTTTTGATGCTTATTAAATGCAGAAGATCTAAATCATTTGAGTTCTTATACTGCTGTAGGAAAATTAAGACCTAGGTCCTAGTTCCTTGTTTATGCGCTGCACTTCTGTTTGTTTTGGAAATCATTCGATTCTGTAGACTTATTGGTGAGATTTGTGTCTTACTTGGGGTTTACAGACAAATTTATGACTGAAACAAAATGTTTTTATAGGTGAGGTGGCTTATTCTAACCGCCTTTAAAATTTAACGCTTATCATTTGTTGAATATGTTTTCTCTACCACTCTTTTTATTGTCTGAGGAACTCTATTACTATATGATACATTTATTCACTACCCAAAGTATTTGTTTTCATTAGAGGATAATCATTTACCAGCATGCTCTTGAGCAGTGACTGAGTCACTATGATCTACCCCTTCTTCTATTTTCTCATGAAATAGCTTTTTCCATTGAATCACAGAAACAGATGTTCTAACACCACCATGAAAAATCTTCTTTTATCATCTCATTTAAAAGTAAACAGTCATGCTCTTTTGCCTATGGAGAAAACTGGTGAACCTAATTGTTTACCATAGAATTTGTCATTCAAAACTATACATTTTCACCTTAACATTTCCCATACATATTTAATGAAATGTGTTATTCTATATCCTAATTTTCCAGCTCCTGATTCTGCCCCTCAGGACTTTTCTGTAAAACAGTTGTCTGGTGTTACCGTGAAGTTGTCATGGAAACCACCTTTGGAGCCAAATGGAATTATCCTCTATTACACAGTTTATGTCTGGTAAGAATTTTTTGGAAGTAGTTCTGAGAACAAACATTAATTTGTAATATAATAGGAATGTAGTTTTTATTTCAGAATACGATGCTGCATTAGAACCTTGATTATTAATAGGCTGGTTAAAATTCTTTTATTAAGAAGTAAGTTTTCCTCATATTATGTGGTAGTAGGTCAGCAACAGATAAAGAATTTTTACAATTAAAACAAAACAATTGCTTTATGCAAACTTATACTGAATTTATACTTTAAAAATCTAACCAATCAACTTATATATGCTTATAAACCAAACATATGATTTTAGAATATTTTGAAGTTTTAAAAATAATACTATTTTGTTTCCTTACACAAAATAATTTCAATTAAAATTTAAACAGAACATATAATTTTAGGGATCTATAGGCAATTTTCCATTGAAAGTAAGCAGGATTTACTGATTGTTTTTGTGACCTCAATTATTTATTTATCTTTCAATTGTGAAAATGATGAATCCTAAAGTGAATTTCATGTCAGTTGACAAACAAGCTATACTGCTTTATGACAACTCTGATTAAAATATTCACCTTGGTCTAAGGTAAGTTTATTAAAGAGAAGCATCAATTATGTAACACATTTCATTGAAGTTTTAAAATAATTCAATTCAGAAAATAAAATGAAAATAATACTTTATCAAAAATAGACACTTCCCTACTTTTACTCTCACTCAGAAGGATCACCCTTCCAAGGGTTGCCCTATTTATAGTGGAGGTTTACTTTATTTTTCTTTCCTGAATTAATACTTTTTTAGCTTAATCCTTCTGTAGACCTTTTGCGTACTGTACTTGAAGGCTTACCTTTCTTGTACACCTCTGACTTCCAGTTGGTTTGCCTAGTTTTGGTGACAGTGTGTCATGGAAGATGGTAGTGAAAAGAAAACAATGGAAAGAAGGTAATCATTCCACTCCATCCATCCGTCTGTCCGTCCATCCATCACTCACTCACTCACTCACTCACTCACTCACTCCATCCATCTATACATCCACGCATCCATACACCGAGTTCATTAATTAATTAATTAATTAATTCACATTTGTAAACTAACCTATATACTGGTGAACAAGCCACACTAAATCCCCTGCCCTCAGTGATTCTATATTCTAAAGAGATAGATAGATTGTATATCCATAAACAAAGGGAGAGAGGGAGACCTCTTTAAAAAAAGTGGTTTTCATTTGTGATTGGAATGACAAGAAGCCTCTTGTCATGAGATGATCTGCAGGGAGGAACTTGCCAGCAGGAGAGAATACATTTTCCCCTCCTGGGAAACATGACTTGTCACTCTGAAGACCAGTGAGTCAATGTTGAGGAGGATTATGGGACCAGAAGAGAGAGATATTGGGACAGGACACTGACCAAATCCAGGCGCTAAGCCATGGAGACTATTTTGTTTCCATTTGAACTAACGGGAATTGCTGGAGCATTTCAAGTATTTTGATCTTTTTAGAAAGAATGAATTGTAGGAGATGGAATTGTTAGAAGAATACCTGGTAGAAAGTTATTTAGTAGTGTAGGGAAGAGATGATATGGGCTCAAGGACCACTGCAGAAGAGGTGGTAGAAAGATTGTAAGAGCCAGGGGAGGAGGTGCATGACCATATGGAAATAAGTGTTACAGTCTCCTGGGACCTTGCTTATATAGTGACAGCATGCATAAGACCCATGCAGACTCGAGCAGAAAAATAACCCAGCATAGAACTGGGGAAATGGGCAGCAGGCCTCAACCTTAGCTGAAGAACTGTTGGACAACTAATTACTGCTAGGTAAGGAAAAGCTGATCTTCTTTAAGGGAGCAACTCTGGGTAGGCTGGCTAGACCCCAGTGAATGAACTTGCTCTGAGGGACATCTGGGGACACTAACTTGACTTGATAGGCCTTAACGTAAATGACAGAATGCATGAAATCTAGTGGGGGCCTATGGAAATGTGCAGGTGGGGGAAGAAGTAAAAAGATGATTAAGATGCTGTGTGTGAGATACACAAAAATTCAGTAAAAAATATGCAAAACTATTATGTGTGTGGTGCTGTGTGTGTGTGTGGTGTATGTGTGGGGTACATGAATGTGGACACATGTGCAACCATCAGGCTATTTTCATCTATTTCTCTTCTTGTTATTGCCTTGAGACATTGAGACAGAATCTCTGACTGAACTTGAAACTCAATATTTATGCAAGCCTGGCTACCCAGCAAGCTCTCAGGATCTGCCTGCCTGTCTACACCCCTCCAGTGCTGGGAGTACAGGCACACAACCATGGCCAGCTTTTTACCCAACCTCTGGGTATTCAAATTCATGTCCTTACTCACTGAGCAGTCTCCCCAGTCTGAGTTATTATAAAATTTTCTAGTTTCAAATCATCCATGATTGACCTTTGATATGCCTAAGAGATAAGAAAGGCTGCCAACACACTAGATTTTGTTTTTCAAACATGGGTATGCACACAGACATCAACATACACACACACATGCACTGAAGAATACACACATGCTTCAAAATCTATTTTGTTCATTGTTGTATTTAGGACGGAAAACTACAATTCAATAATTAGTTGAAATTTCATTATTGTTTGTTGAGTGGATGAGTAAATGAAAAACAATATGTATATATAATGTATAGCACGCCTTTATTTTTAATGTAATATTTTTATTAATTCTTTGAGAATTTTGTACATGGATACAGTTTTTTTTTTTTTTTTTTGTCTTTTTGAGATAGTGTCTCCCTGTAGTCCCATTATGTAGACTAGGCTGGCCTCTATGTCACAGAGATCTGCCTTCCTCTGCCTCCTGAGTGCTCATCGAAGGTGTGTGACATCATGCCTGGCTTTACAATGTATTTTTAATATATTGACCCTTACCCCCAAACTTTTCCAACTCCTTGTCTAATGTTCTATTTTTTTTAATCTCTAGATTTCAATGAGGTGTTTTACATTTTCTGAGGGACACGGGTGAAGGTGCACTGGGGCTGTAGAAAATAATAGAAAAATGATGGGAACGTCCCTGGGAGTGGGAACAGTCCAACATCAGGGCCTGGGGGCCCAAGATCAAGCATGCAGTCAAGACCTTAGCTGGCCATACAGGGAGGCAGAAAGTCCATCTTTGAGAATCAGTTCTCCCAAGACTAGAAACTGCAAATGACAAAAAGCTTCTCTGTCCCCATCATAAGCCTAATACAGAGGCAGAGCCACTGCCATGCACAGCTTGAGCTGTGGTCCTCTCCTTGAATTGGAGCCGTAGACCCCTCTTGTGAACCTGGAGCTGTGGTCCTCAACCATGAACCATCACTTGACATTCCTCCGGGGAAGGGCTGATGGTGAAGCCGATTGGAAGATGGAAGCAGCAGTTGTAGCCTTCTCTGAGTGGCTGCATCTTCCACAATTGCCCTCTCCCGAGATGTCAAGTTATGAAAAGTATATTTTCAATGGTTAAAGCTTATTCTTTGGAGTTGGTTAAGAGCACTGACTGCTCTTGTAAAGCATACGGGTTCAGTTCCCAATGCACACATGGTGACTAACAACCATCCTTAACTCCAGTTCCAGGGTATCCAACACCCTCTTCTAGTTTTGGGGGCATTGCATACATGGTTGCATTTATATAATGCAGGCAAAACACTCATACACATAAATTAAATAAATAATAAAATTTAAAACATTTAATTGTTACATTTTTAGGGTCTTTACCATAAGAGTAATGATGTGTATATAGACAATAAATAAGAAGAGAAAAATGAAATATATTTGAGAAGATTTTCTGAAGTATACTGAAACATATATAAATAATCTTGAAGTATGTAGAAATACCTTTTTATTTAGATACTTGTTGGAAGGCTTATTCAGTATTGCTAAGAAAATGGTAATAATTTTTGATTTTTTTTCATTCTTGATGACTAATGCTTTGAGGAATTCTTGTGATAAACAGTTGAATTGACAGGGTGAGCTGCAGGTGTCATTATGCATTGCACATTGTTTCTAGACAGTGAGACAGGAGATTGCCGGCTCTGATGTAAAGTTAATTGTGTGGTTCCCTTTTGGGCTATTTTCCAAATGAAAATTATATGTAATGTTCTGAACAACTTTTCTCTTTGTAATGAATGTTTTTCTACAAATCTGCTCATAAAGGTTTATATGTAACCATTTTATTTCCATTACTGTGGTAGTTACATTCAGATGGTATGTTCATAAATCTGTTTTAATTTTTTACACTTTAAAATAATTTTCTTCTAAAGTTTGCCTAATAAAATAACTTTCATGAGGATGATAAGGTATCATTTTCCCTTAGTTATGTAAATGACATATATTTTCAAATAATACACAGTCCTTGCATTCTGAAGGCAGAGACATTAAACAAATGAATTTTTTGTTATAACACTACATTTATTCTCTTAATTCAGTTTGAGTTTAGACATGATGTTCTGATAAAGTAATAAAAGCTTATTTATTAACTATATTCAACTTGGAGTTATTTAGCAATTTTGCTTTTGTATATGTCAGTAAAATTTAACAATTTTCCCCCCACATTGTCACATGAATATACTGAAAGGCACTGGCAAATGACTATGGTAAAAGTGATGCTAAAAATTCTAGCTTACATAAATCTTGTATTGAAAATGGTTCTCATGGGCTAGAGAGATGGTTCAGCAGTTAAGAGCATTGGCTGCTCTTGCAGAGGACTCAGGTTCAATTCCTAGCATCCACATCGTGGCTAACAACTGTCCATAACTCCAGTTCCAGGGGATCCAACATCCTCTTCTGACTTCTGTAGGCATTGCATGACACAGGTGCACTTACATACCTGCAAGAAAAATACTCATACACATACAATAAAAATAAAGAAACCAAAAATGGAAAATGTAAATAATCTTCAATTTCCTTAAAACTATGAGGATTAATACTGAATCACATTTTACAGATGTATATTAACATTTCTACAGAGACAAATATAAAACCTTAAGTGATTGTAGATTATTAAATATATGATA